CTTTCTAAATAGGCTTAAAAATTCGTTCGACTTAAGAGAAAAACTATTCTTGACATGTTTTGCAGGAAAACGCTCTCTTTCAAAGTGAAAAAAAATTATTTATCTGAGCTCAGTCTCCAAACATTTTAGTGGTTTTAGACGTCAATCACGGAGATACTTTATTCATCTTGATGCATTTTCAACCAACTTCATGAGATTTCCACAGAAACTTCAAGAATGAAGCGTATTTAGATCAAAACACTTTCTAAATAGGCTTAAAAATTCGTTCAACTTAAGACAAACGCCATTCTTGACATGTTTTGAAGAAAAACGCCCTCTTTCAAAGTAAAAAAAATAAATTTATCTGAGCTCAGCCTCCAAACATTTTAGTGGTTTCAGACGTCAATCACGGAGATAATTTATTCATCTTCATGCATTTTCAACTAACTTCATGAGATTTCCACAGAAACTTAAAAAATGAAGCTTATTTTGGTTAATACACTTTCAAAAGAGGCTGACTATGTATCTTTATATTATGATAATGGTCGTAAGACATCTATCAAGAATAACAGGACCAAAGGAACTGCATTCTCAAACTTCACCCACAAAACAAATAAAATAAAACATTGCATTTGGTTTGCATTGTTTCCATCGCGAACTAGTTGTATGGCTGGCATTAGTATTATTTAATAGTGGATTGAGCTTACTCACCTCTTATGATAGCAGAAGTGCCTTCAGACAAGGCTTGAAGTGGAGGTAGCATGAATACAACAGGCGTGGCATTGTTGATATGTAAATGAACTTGCTGTATGTCGTACTCTACAGGGTGAACCATATTGGCTCCCATTACACACAGTACAAAGTCTTGGCACACTTGGAACATCTACATGATGAGAACATAGAATCACGAACTGTTAACTTGATATTTTTGTAGAATGTGCGAAAGTGTTGCCTGATTTTTTTGCGCATCAGCCACAGAACAAACGCTATACCTATCACTAACATCCAATACTAACATCTATTATAGCTATTCCGAGGTTGTTGATTAAAAATGGGTAGAGTTGGCACTGCAGTGCATTGTGCGATTTTATTAGAGAATACATTTCCCAAATGGCGTCTAATTTGTCCCCTAAAGCAGTCCAAAAATACACCGCAATGCCAACTCAATTCAACATTATGATCCTCAAGCCAATAAGCATTACGTCACTGTGGTCATCTTGGTGATATTTTATTAATACCACCAACATGGCTGCCGAGCTTTAGTCTTTATTAGCTCCCATACTGAATCCAAATTACCAATACCTGATATTAGAGTCTAGCCCACAATGAGAAATTTTAAAGTGAATCTATCGGGTCGATACAATGCTTGTTGTCTTATTTGCATCTCATTTGCTTGCATCCATAAAATCTGCTATCACGTGCAGCATCACGTGCTGCCGCCCATAATACAGCTTGTTAGATGGCAGAAAAAAAGAATCCCTTTGACCCGGGAATTGAATTCTTTCTCATGTAAAACGATTGCATTGTTCCTGCCATCTAACATGGCTGCCGTCACGTGATGGTGCAAAAACTCTATTGACTGTTCAATTTATGGGTCATGTTTTACAATAGTTACAAATTACCTGATCTTCTCGGAATGCTCTCCATAGCAAGGCTTTCTGGAAAACCGTCAAGAACGGAAACTCTCCTGGTGTGTTGGCTAACAGAACCGGAGGAAGCTGGGGAAAAATCATGGTAAAGGGTTGTTATTTACCAAGCAGTCAATATTTTTTTGGTTTTTTTTCCAGTACCATTGAAATAACAAAAATAGGTACGAAATTGAAAAAAAAAAAAAAAAGATTCAGTTATTTGGATGAATAAATACTGCTTTAATTTTCCTAAGAAAGTTCAAAGTTAGAGCGTTCGAGCAGAAAAAAAGGACGTGAGCTWGTTTGATACTCTGATCAAACGCGGATTTTTGAACTATCAGAGAGCGCGTTCTATTTGAATTACTGACTTTGTAATGAATGAATAATAAATGAATGAATGAATGAATGGATAAATGAATTATTAGATGAAAAAATGAAAAAYTAAAATATAAACATTATACAAAAATAGCCTGCACAAGGTGTCACTTAATGCACTTACTAAAAAGTACTCTCTCCATTCTTCGGGAAATTCGATTAATGACTTCCTCAGGTTTTTAAATGGTGGCAAAGTTTCTATTTGAGTGAGAGAACGCCAAGCCTAGCAAAAGAAGTAATGATCACATATTATATGTTTAGTATTAAAAGATGACTTTTAAATAACTTATTTTCTGATTGGCCGTGATACGTGCTTTATGGATCACGGAGCACGCACACGCGTTTTCTGTTTCTCTACTATTCGCATGTAAGAAAAACGTCTATTTGTGTCTTATCAAGATATAAGAGAACGCTTCGAGTCGTGTTTCTCTTAACACTTCTCTCGTCTTATGCCAAGCTCCGCGTGCTTTATAAGTGCACACTAACACGCGGGAGCGTTTTCTGTTACTTCATTCGCATGCAAAAGCACGGCTATTCTTATTTGTATCTTAACGCTTTTCTCATGTGCTCAACCTTCGAATGCTTTATAACTGCGCACGGTATGCACGGTGCGCATTTTCTAGTTTTTTTTAAAGGAGTACTAGTGCTTCTCTTAACACTTTCCTCGCGTTCTACTAATCTCCACGTGCTTATAACTGCTGACAGCAAGCCCGCGTGCTTTTGTTACAAAATCAAGTCTTGCCTGCGGAGTGACCCAGTCTGGTTTGTCTTCGTCCTCAACCGGAGGAAGTAGGTGTTCTGGCAAGGGTTGGCGATAGATAAATAGCTGCCATTCTTCTTCTGTTATTTCATTCTCTGATAACAGCTTCTCTACTGACATGAGGAATGGGAAAACCAGATTGTCACCTAGGAAACAAATGAAGACATGTTACTTAATTTAATTGATGGACAGGATGAACGACAAGCAACAAAGTAAAAAACAAGAAGCAAAACTACTAAAGAAAGTAGGGGAGAGACAAAAAAGGAAACGAAAGGAGTTGTCTATCGAAAAACAAACTAAAAATAGTTTCTGTAGTCGATGTTGACGATGATTTTAAAATTGATGATAATGATGATGATGGTTCTATATGATGTTGATGATGTTGATAGTGATGATGATGATGATGATGGTGATGATGATGATGATGATGATGATGATGATGATAATGATGATGATGATGATGATGGTTATATATGATGTTGATGATGATGATGGTGATGATAATGATGATGATTACATCACTCACCAAGAAACAATCCCCAGGACATACGAGTATATATCATTCTAGATAGTGCAGATACCAGCTCGGCCGCACGTGCTGCAGGCGAGCCCAAGTTTTTCTTATTTCTCTTCCTTTCAGCAATAGTTTCTCGGAACAGCTTGAGGTAGGTATCGAATGGCATGTGGTAATATGCAGGACGGATTTTGTGCATCTGACAGATGATCGTATATAGCATTGCACCGTGACGTGCAACTGGTAAGAAGTCATCGCGCTTGGCTTGCATCTGTTTGCGCATGGCCTATAAATACATCGAAAAAAAGTAAGGTATGGTGAAAGAGCTTACTCAAGTGAAGACCGGTATGAGGAAATTCAACATAGGCTGACATACTACCAAACAAATATAAATGAAGCAACTGCAAATGAGTTAACTAACATTTTGAACGTCAAATTTGAACTTGTCACAAGCCATCCAAATAAATGACAGAAAGAATGAATGACCGAATCAACCGACCGCCGATCACCCATCAATCTATTTGTTAGTCAACCGACAGTAGCAAATCGTCTGAGCAACTATCCAGCTTATCAAACAACGACAATATCTCAATTTAATCTTGTAAATGGTAAACTAGTCGGCTACTATGGAGATTCTTACCAATGATTCTTGGTAGCGCTCTCCAGCAGTACTGAGGACATCCACGCTCTTGTTCACGTTGGCTAACATAGTCGTGTCTTTGAGTAAAGGTTGTTTTAACTCCAGAACTTTATCAAGCACAAATTCCTGGAACATAAGAGATCGTTAGGTCATTGATGCTGAGTGTTTCTCTGTGTTTGCGGGCGCGTTTCTGGGTCTGATCCCAAGCAGTCAGCAGAGACAAAAGCAGCTGTTTTATGATTTTGCGCGAGCGTATCTCTGTCCTCTGATATAAGCACGGTAGCCAGCCAATCAGCGCGCGCGTTACATCTCATATATTTTATAATATATAGTATATGGAGTGTATGGAAATTACCTGCGCATTTTTCATTTGTTGCTCATGAAGAGTCAAGTCCCTCTCCAAGGATCTTTTCTGTCCATCATACTCCGGTCGTTCCAGAGTCAAAGTCTCCGTTAATAAACAATTGGCAATGCCTTCCTGGCTCAATGACATATCGATCACACCAGTCTTGGACAGAGGCAACGGCACTAGACCTTCACCCATCATGTACAGTGGTACGGAACTACTGAGAAACAGCCGGAACGACGGACGAAACTCTACGGCTGATTTTCCTATAACAATCTTTTTGGTATTAGTGCTATTGTCGACTAATATTTGCCTCGACAAGAGAAGCCAGAGCTTCTTGTTCCAACGTCTTCGTTCCACGTGTGTGACGAGGACCACTACTCCTGCTATTGCAGCTGCACGGATTTTACTCCCTGTGTTCGGATCAAAAATGAAATGATCACAAGTCAACGAGTATACGAGAAAACCCAGGTAGCTATAGACCCCTTACATGTGACCTCAAAGGAGCTCAATTTGAAGAACAAAAGCAAAGAATTTCAATCTCATGAGTATTGGAAACCTTTTGTTCTCCAAATAGAGCTGCATTCCGACGTGCTGCAAGGGGTCTATTGTGAAATTATGTTTTTAAAAATTCTTACGTAGTTGTGGATCATCTGCCGGTATGACCATTATTTGACCCTCGTCGATATCAAGGTTAGGCGTGGGAGCGTACTCCGTCGACATGTCTGGCGAATCAACCTGCCGAAGTAGGACAGAAACAAGCAAATAATAGAGCATGATTTAGCATGTTTTAAAAAGAGCACAAGAAAAGTGAGTGCTGTTCCCACAATGAAATAAGGGCCCTGTTACGCGTTGAAACTTTTAGCTGAGACATGTGTGAAACGGTGTTGCGAGACAAGTTTCACGGGGGTCTTACACGGCGCAATTTAGGCTTTGAGAAACTTTTGTTGCAGAAAGTTTCACGGAAAGTATTCCTGCTTTCTATTCGTGCAACCAAAACTTATGCCGCGATGAAGTTTCAGGACAAAATTGCGTCGTGTAACTCCGTGTATTGATACTCAAGGAAATGACACGTGGTCTGTAATGGGAAAACATTGCACCACGACCAAGGTCTATTCCACATATCTAAATAAAACTTAAACAGATTATACAGTACATACCTGTAGTCCCATTTCACGGGCTAACCTTTCCTTAAACGTTTTATCTGTCGTGGTAGTAAAAGTACTTCCTGCTGTTTGATCTGTGATCGCAGTCATGGGTGAATCAGAATCACGAACAGTCGTCTCGTCATCTATAAATAACACAAAAAAGTTATCCGATAAGAGATAGACAGACAGACAGACAGACAGACAGACAGACAGACAGACAGACAAACAGACAGACAGACTACATTCTGATAATAATGTTTAATACCTATAACAATTGCCCAAAACTCTCTGCATATGAAAATGAAAAAAAGGAATTGAGGGGTTTCATTTAATCACAATGCGAGGACACCCTAACGTTATGCAGTTTTTGTATGAATGTGCATGGAAAAGCTCAAGGCACGAACACGGTCGTGACACGGCAAGAAATATGTCAGCCCAATCACATTACACAAGAATATACTTTCCATCCAATCAAATGCTCGAAACACGGCGTGGACACAATCACACCAATGTTACAGAACTGCCAAACCAATCATATATTGCGCAAGAAAAAAAATCCACCAATAAAATTTCTAGAAAACATCACGGTCGCGGCAAGGCACGCATACGACGCCGATATTTTGACAGTCAGAAACTGCTCTACTGTTAGCGTTTAACTCCACGATCACGGGACGGCATCTTGGGCGATTCGCAACGTTAGTTATCACATTCATACTTAATTTGCTCCATAGAAAGTCATCATCTTACCATTGCTATCTTTTAGTTCAGACAACAAGACATCATCACCATCATCATTACTGTTTCCTATATTGGAAATGCGATCATCATCATCATCTTGATTACTGAGGTCTTGATAGTCCAGAGTACTAGACACACGGGTAGGTGAGCTGCGCCGCCTTGACGTCTCTGAGGATGGACGGTCTAAAGTTTCTGTCTTGGTCTTGGGATTGACTAAAAGGATAAACGAGAGTAAAGAAATTAATAAAACGATAACTATCTGAATGGAAACAGGAGGATAAATAGTGCAGAAATGGATAGCAAATCGAAAGTATGAATCTTAAAACACATCTAGTTAATAGAAATTATTCGCTTGCGCAAAATATTTTCTAATTTCAGACCATTCTCTTAAGAATAAGATTATTTGTTTGAGTTGTTTGCATATTCATGTGTCTCTTTATGTGCAACTGTGAAATGATACTTTGCGCATAAGCATTGCGAATAAGCCTTAAAGCTTTATTAAGAAGGAAAATATGCATAAGAGAATAATCAATTTTGAATTCTGTAATCCCGAGACTAACCTTCCATTAAAGCTCGTACCCACTTCTCTGCCTGTCCATGTGGGTCAATCAACAGCGGCCAACAAAACCGATCATTACTACAACTGCGCATTATCAGAGCGTTTTGCACTGCTTGCTCATCATTGGGTAGACCTTCCTTAATCCACTCGGTTAGCTCATCTTTTTCGGTCAAGATGGACGCCAATGAAATACCTTCACGAAGGGCAACTTTATTATTGACATTTGTAAGTGAGATGTTTGATCTTATTGGTTTAACATCTTGGTTCTCCTCTTCAGATTCCTTCTCGGTGTTGGTGTCTTTTGGCGGGAAATCTGGATTCCGGAGCATCATCAGTGCAAGGCTGCTGGTTTGGTTTGAAATCTCCCGCGTGGTTCCATCGCATACTTTCAGCCAATCAAGAAAGAGCTCTTCACGTGCCTTTTTATTCAGAGGACCAAAGTAACAAACACATGCAGCCGCTATYAGTGCGTCACCAGGAGAGGTTGTTAAGTGTTGCTTGGCAACGTCTAATGTCGTTTTCCAGGACTCGTGGTAATCCTTCAGGCTGTTGACGAGGTTGGTGGCACGGGATTTGCGAGACTCGATAGCCTACATGAAAAAATATAGTTTTAGAAAGTAATAAATCGATGATTTGAAATCCTTTCCAATAGAGTAAGAAGACAAAGACGTGGCGACCATGATGGTGGTATAAATAACAAAAGTTAATGTCAAATCTTTTGTTAAGTGTCGCCAACATGGCGGCCATGCTGATAATATGAATTCCATTAACGAATGCGAATGAAATACAGTCTTTTTCCTCCCGAAAAGTTCATGACAAATGCAAAATACAGAACAAGAGAGTTTTCTGATAGAATCATTAGCATTTCTTACCTGGATCTTTTTCTCGATATTCTTCGTCTGTTTGACACTTTCTTTGTAAGATTCTATCTTTTCTTCTAATTCTTGTTTGATGGTGTTACATTGGACTTTCATCTCACCTAACGTGGTCTTTGCCTAGAGAACAAGAAGAGAATAGCATGGGATGGGATTCATGGAATAGAAAGGAATAGGATACGATGCAGCAAATCCCTGTCTCGGTAAAAGAACTTGGATAGAATGTGATGGGATTGAAATGAATGGGATTTAAATGGACGGGATATGAAAGAACAAGATTAATCCGTGTTATACCACTGTAGTATGAGAGGTTAAGAAAGGATGTGATATGCATAAATGAGATGGGATGGAATGTAATGGTATGTAATAAGATATCATGAGATGGAAATTATGGAATAAATGCGCACTAGACCCCTTGCATGTGACATCGAAACAGCTCAATTTGGAAGACAAAACAAAAGAATTTTAATCTCCTGAGAATTGGAAACTTACTGTTGTCCTCCACATTGAGCTGCATTCCCGAAGTGCTGCAAGGGGTCTATTGCTTAATACCATTCGCATTAATCACAGGAATTTGAATCGCATTATCTACTCTATTATTTGTTATTGAAAAGCGTGATTTGACTGATGAACATTCCGCACGATACAAGAACTGACGCTAATAGTCCACTTCAAAGATGACAAGGCTTCGCCTTTCACGCACAAGGGCTGCGTGACAAGCGGAGCATATCTCGGAAGCAGGCATTTAAAACCACGGAATACACTAAGAAGACTGCCCTATATCACTAACCTGTTCTAGTTCTTTCTCAGCCTCTTTAATCTTCTTCCGCTTGGGTTTTAAAGCTCGGTATACAACCGCATAGTCGTAGACAGCTCGTACCCACATGCACAACGAGGCAGCAGCAGCACTACCATCCTTGACAGTCTCTGGTTTGAACAACGCATGGTCGCAGAACACCTTAAGTCTCTTGAACATGCCGTCGGTCATTCCTTTGATGTTGTAAAACTCAAGGTCTTTGAAAAAGTTATCACGATTGAAGAGAATCTTGCTTTGCTCCCAACTATAAGGAAAGACAATTAGGATTTGTTAATTATTACTTGATCATTGTTTTATAGTTTATTGGAAGTTTATTGGAAATTTTATCGGAAGTTTATTGGAAGATGGACAGGTCAAATCGAGAAAAGGGAGAAAAGGGAGAAGAGGGGAGAAAAGTGGAGAAAATAGGAGAAAAGGGGAAAAGAGGGGAAGAGGGGAAAAGAGGGGGAAATGGGCAGAAAAGGGCAGAAGAGGACAAAAAAAAAAGGGCAGAAGAAGTAGGGAGTGGAATAGGATATGATAATCTTACGTTTGATTCCTTTTGAACAGTAAGCAGATTGAATTGGCCACAAGTTCAACAAGAAACGGAGGTACACGATAACTTCTGATTTCTTCCACGTCGTGAACATCGAGTGATTGAATCGCCTTTAACGCTGCATCGAACAAAGGACTGACCTGCGAAAAGCCATTTTTATACAGTACATCAGATTATAAATCGAATCAATCAATACAGCTATTTCAAAAAGGTTGGTAAAGGTTTTGCTGCACGTTGCATGCTGCTTAATAAATCGAATCAATCGATACAGCTATTTCAAAAAGGTTGGTAAAGGTTTTGTTACATGTTGCATGCTGCTTACTAAGCTTGAGATGTATTATATTCATATGTAAATAATGTCAGCACAGAACAAAATATGCCGTAGACGTTCAGATATAAGTTTGGTAAAATTCCATATTGTTGTGACCCTTCCTTGAATACATTCACATCGTACATAGTGCATGGGGGCTTGGTATGCGATACGCAACAAAACCTTCACCAACCTTTTTGAAATAGCTGTAATGATAGGTGAGAAAAAGGAGAGAAGAAATTGGACACCAACCTTTCCAAATTCATCTTTAGATTCTTTCTTTAGTTTATCAACAGGTGCCTTGATTTTCTCGACTTCTAGTTCTTGCTTCTTGCAAGCCTCTTTTTGTTCTTGGTATTCTTTTTGAGTTGCCTCTATGTCCTGCTGAGATTCTTTAACCTCATCGTGGCCCTCGTTGCACTGCGGAGTGAGCTCTGATAACTCGTCGTTCATCTTTTCTATGCTAGTGTTTGCTTCTTCCATGCGCTTGAGGCCGTGCTTTAGACGAGATACTGTGGTCTATTGGCATTCAAGATTAAGAGGAAAGTCAACGTTTTAAAAGTAAAGAAACAAGGAAGGCATAAAAAAGAAAAGAAACGAGAAAGTAAGACTGAAAAGTGAAAAAAGAACAAGTTTGAAAAAGCGAGACTGAAGCAAATAAATCTACAAAAGAACGAACGAACGAACGCACGCACGAACCGCACGCACGCATGCACACACGAACGAACGAACGAAAGAACGAACGAAAGAACGAACCAACGAACGAACTAACGAAGAAAGGAAAGAAGGAAGGAACAGAAAAAAAGGGACGGAAAAGCAAGCGAGCAAGTAATATGAAGAATACAATCCACACCTTTTCTTTGAGACAAAGTCGAACACAAAACTTCTTAAAGAGTTCCACAAAGTCCAGGTAATCATCAGGTGAATACACCTTAAGGCCTTTCGTTCCGTAAAATTTCTGAACCATAGACCTGGCTGATAAATGTACATGTGCCATAATAGAACATATAGACGCCACTTGCGCTTCTCGTTCCCGTTTGCTCCAAGGTACATAGTCGAATACAGGATCCTCTTCACTTATGAGTTTATTGGCGATGCTCGTCAGTGCTTCGTGTGACCAGGGGAGGTAAGTATCTACACAACAGCAGCGAGTAAGCAGAAGAGGAAATTTATACAGCTGTGAAGTCGATGGAGGATTTTTTGAGGAAAGAGGTTCGTATTTTAGGCAGACCACCACGTGTAGGTTAGATTTGACGCGACGGAAGAAGCGTTCTTGCGCGATGTCTTGGTGTTCGGTACGTCTGGCCCCACGTTGCCCGCCAGGAAGAAGTTGACTGGATATCATGCTGATTTCGTTGCTGGTATACAATCCTGGACATGTACCTAGTGATAACCAACCACAGCACAAAACATTACAATTAGAACTAATTTTATGGTTAGGTCTAAAGTCCATACGACGCCTCAGGTCTGAGGATGTCTCGGGGCTATGTCGCAATGGAATCAATTTTTTTGAATTTCTCAGCTTCCGTGAGTTAAAATCCCAGCGTATGAAGTTAAGATTTTTTAGCACATTTTTGTTTTCGAATTGATCATTGCCGGGATACTCCACTTCAATTTCTCAGCATTAGTTTTCCCATAAATATGGTCAAATATGGCGATGTTTTCTGTATATATGCAATATGGCTACTGTCTACCCAAAAATATTGCCAAGTGAACGGCCTAGCCAAAATGTTAAGTATTTTTGGTGTGGAATGTGATCGTCCGGGTGAGTGTAGTATGCTAACTATCCGAACCCCGTCTCGTTCCTGCCAAGTTCTATACATGAATAGACACGCATACCTTCAACCATGAGAGCGCAAATATCCTGTAACGTGTCATCTGGCTGATTCTCTGAGACGAAYAGCACGACTGGTTTACCCTGTACACCCGCCACGTAGCTTGCCGCCTTGATTTGCTGTCGCTGTTCTTGCTTGCTTTGGAAAAGAGCAGCCTGTAGCTCCACCAACTGATGTTAAAAAAAGAACATTATTACTAAATCAAAGAGGGGGGGAGGGGGTGGGTGGGGGGTAGCTGACACCTGAATGAAGAATGTGTCTTAAATCTACCTTTAATAAAGTTCAGAACGATACACTAATGGGAAAGGTGTTGCTGAATAACAGCAAGGGGCATATATATTTAATAAAATAATCAAACCTACTTTGAATCCTGCAGCAAAGGAAGCGAGACGCACGAGAGTCCTTCTTCCGTATCCAAGGCACGATAATAGTAATGCATGGCCACCTTGTGCTGCCTAGAAGTACAAGGACAAGATTCAGATGCCCAACCTTTTATTGACAAGCCAATATAAGAAAAACTCCTGTTTGTAACTGACTAATCTTCTTGATAAATTTTCATAAATTAAAAAATGGACGCATGAATGGGGTACACGCTAATTTTTGCCATTCCATTTTAGTTCATACTGCCAAGAAATATTGCAACGTCTATTCAAAATATTGGGATATTTTTTTGTTTCAAGAAGGTGTTGCTATTGATGTGGCAAAACCTCACTGGCTAACGCAAGACTAAAACAAAATCAAGCACGTATCGACGGAAAAGTTTAAAACTTACCAGCGCACGACTTATCCGTGAAGCATGGTGAAGAGCCTGTCTGAAAGTCACCATATTTATCTTGCTAAAAGAGTTCGTCTCAGAAAAGCGGGAGTTATAAGAGGACACACAGTTATTGACACCACTTTCAAGGACATCTTTGGTACACTCTACATAGCCCCGTGCAGCATCTGGAATATTACCAATCGGCGGCACAGAGGCACTGAAATGCTTATTGAATATGATGTCTGTCAAGTCTTCTCCTGGTTTGGTTAGCTGGTCAAAGGTTATCAGAGGACCTTTGTATTCCTTGTCGTCTAGTTCTTTGATGTCTCCAAAGGTTACCTAGGAAATAACCATTTAATATCACCAAGACTTGAGTTACTAGGGTTCCTTAGAGGGGCTCGAACCCTAGCGATCTAAGTTGTCGTATTATGCTAAAACTAGACGTAAACATCAAGAAAAGATCCTGATCTCCATTTACGATTCGAGGGTTTTTCTCCAGGTTTTTCGGCCGGATTTTCCTCAGCCGGATTTTCCTCAGCCGGATTTTCCTCAGCCGGATTTTCCTCAGCCGGATTTTCCTCAGCCGGATTTTCCNGCCGGATTTTCCTCAGCCGGATTTTCCTCAGCCGGATTTTCCTCAGCCGGATTTTCCTCAGCCGGATTTTCCTCAGCCGGATTTTCCAAAACCTTTCGCTAAATTCCAATTCAATCCATTAGTTTGCCGTGTCCTCACTTTGATCAGACCTGAGGTTGTTTCAGGGTTTGATCTGTGAGTTAGCCATGCCATGACTTTGATAAGCCCAGAGGTTGTTTCAGGGTTTGATCTGTGAGTTAGCCATGCCCTGACTTAGATCAGCCCAGAGATTGTTTCAGGGTTTGATCTGTGAGTTAGGCGAGCCCCGACTTTGATCAGCCCAGAGATTGTTTCAGGTTATCAATAAAGGTTGAAGGCTTGAAGGTTTGTAATGACGCATAGTGACTCACAGTAATGAATAGCAGCAAAAATCCAATATCCCATCCAGACGAAGTTATTCAACCACGAAATTTACATACAAATATATTAAACATGTTTCTGCGACCCTACCTTGACACCTTGGTATCTCTCTTTCGTCAACCAAAAAATAACCAGTTTCAAGCCGTTTGATGGACGGAACCATCAAGTGTGCTTGTCTGGAGTTAACGGGGTCGCAAAAGCACAAAAAGTACACTAATGTTCAGTATTATTGTTTTACCTTAGTACGAGGACCAGTGGAGCTAAAAGTGCATTCTATTTTCTCAGCTTGTGACTCGGCATTACTCGTTGCAGTACTACTGGAGCTACGTTCAGATTGACCGTCCTCTTCTTCTTCTTGACCCTCAAGTTTTTCTAAAGATATAAATAGGGGTTTACTGATTACACTACGAATATTAAAAAGATTATATTAGCCCTAGTATAGCAAGATGATCCTTATGAATATTTAATCATATGACAATGAATATATGGATAGATGGACGGAAGGAAGCAAAGAAGCAAGGAAGCAAGGAAGGAAATCAGGAAATAAGGGAGAAAAGGAAGGAAGGAAGGAAGGAAGGAAGGATGGTTGGATGGAAGAAAGGAAGGATGCATGCATGGACGCAGGAAAAATTGATCGAAGAAACGTATGAGCGAATGATCAAACAGATAAGCAATATGAATAATCTTAGTGCATAAGCAATCTTGGCAATAATGCGACCTACCCTCACTGTCTTCGTTGTCTGATTCTTCTTCCTGCTGTTCCTTGTCTTCTTCGGACTGTGTGCTATTACCATTATCTTCTTCTTCTTCTCCTTCTTCTTCCTCTTCTTCTTCTTCCTCCTGTGCATCTTCATCAATTTCCGCTTCATCATCGTCATCGTCATCATCGTCACCGTCATCATCATCATCGTCAACATCATCAACAACATCATCATCTACTTCTTTATCTGGCTCCGCAGCCTTTTTAGAATCACTAACAACATTCTCCTGATGTTCACCAAGGGATTCGCTGGAAACTGTTTTTCCTTTAGCAGAAGGTGGTGGTGCATTACTACCTGGAGCTACACCAAAAAGATCTTCAGGTTCATCTACAAGCCAAATGAAAGCACATGAAAATATTAATAAGGCTTTGGCAGTTCCCCTTGGGAATTAGTCATCAAGGAATTCTATTTGTTGAGGTAATTACTTAATGTTCCAGGGTAGGGAGTTTCGCATTGTCACTACCTTAAAAGAACTAGAGAACTTTGACAAACACGGAAAAATATATATCGCCATTAGATTTTAGAGTTTATTAAAAAATTGACAGTCGCCTCTCTGAAAATAATATCAAACTCTTGGTTAAGCCTACCCCTTTCTAAGCAGAGGTCTAACAATTGTAGGTGCATACGATATAGACATGAACTAAGTCGGTCACACCATATTAAAGCTATCTAACTTGTCACCCTGCAAAAGATTAGAATGCAAAAGACTTTTCCCTAACAGTGCTATATGTACTATATACTGTTTGGAGTATTGAACTAAGTCGGTCACAGGCTAATTTGTCATCCTACCTTCTAGGATCTTCTGAGAAGCATACTCTTCAAACATCAGTTCCAGCGAACCTTCCCCCTTGCAGAAGTGTTCCTCGACCTGTTCATTCAGTACTGACGCAAACCAGAATCGCTGGTCTTCATCCAGGAGGCGATCACAATATGTACGTGTGTTTTCGTGACACCAAAGTCTGAACAATGGACGAATGAGGGGTGACAAAACTGCTGGTGTCTTGATTATGGACTTTTTAGCTTCGATATCTATGGTGCTAAGGTACAAATCAATAGGTTTGGTTAGATTTATGGTG